GTCGGCAGCGGCCAAACAACATTATAACCGAACATTGCGCGACTTTAAATGAGTAAGTTCTCTAATAGATCAGTGACGTACTAACGAAACAACGTTAACCAGGACAATGTTAAGTGAGGAGTACCTGTATTTAATAAATCTGCATTTGAGGCTATAGCATTCTGTTACCACCTAAATTGTTATGAATTCAGTTTGGTTGTACGACTGAAGACAATGCAGTTTAAAGAAATACTTACTGTTCTTTATTGTCTAGAACATGCTTTGAACTAGAAAAGTGATATATTGCTATAGTTTCAATGCTAGCTCCTTGTATCTTGGAAACAAGTTTATTTTTTTCTGTTTTAACCCAGGCTCTCGGTTGTAGAAACAACTTAATTTTAAAATAAATCTTAAGATTTTCTCCATAGGAAAATCATGTCTAAAGATACTGCTAAGCTCTACACCATCAGTTTCTGGCCTTTTATGTCACAACCACGCTTCTGGTCAGCTCTCAACCTGGTTTCCAGCATGAGTTTAATTGCCGTAACTGAATATTTGGGGGCTTATAACCCAACTCTTTAAATGCCGGAACTGCATTTGGGGTCACAATCACTAGTTTTGGAATTGCTGCTCCACAGCTTGGATTATCTTCTCCAGGGGCAAACACGCAAGGGGAATGGGAGGACTCCACAGTCATAGTTCCCCTTTTATTCTGCCAGGAGGACTAAATTTGCTTGCTCTTATAAAATAAGCTAAGGGGCTAGCTGATACAACCTGGACAATCCCCTGTGCTACCGCACTAGTTCCTCTGCAGTGTAGCTCTACTGGCATTTCTCTACAACACTGTCCACTTTGCATTTGGCTGTGCAGAAAAGATAACAGAGTCTCAGGCTATATTATCTTTTACAGGAGCTCTGCATGGGACTGAAGTTTGGACACTGTCTCAGTTCTGGCCAGGCCTAAGCCTACCTATTCTTTTTTGCGTGTGTGCTGTGTACAGAGTCCACATCCTGCCAGAGTATGGGCTTTAAAACGGGTTGAGAGAGAGGGAAGGGGCAATAGGGAGTGATGATGTGACAGAGGCAGGTGACCCTCTTCCCTTGTATAGCAGCAATGTAACCACGCAGCTGCAACACACAGGGGCTATGGCAACTTGCAGTATCTGCCACCTTGCCAACATCATTGGTAGGAACTGTTGTTTTCCACCCTGCCCCAGAAGCTGGGGTTGGGGCAGCTGCCCCTGTCATCGCACTCGTTTGCCCCACTACAAAAAAGAACAGAAATGTGTGCGTGCAGGATTGCCTGCAGGCACAGACCTCAGAAGACTGGGATGTGATCCAGGCCTATATCGGGACTTTCCCCTAATAGTAAATTACTGCATATGTGCAGCCCCCATATGCCTAGAATAACAGTTGGCGACAATATTTGGATTTACAGCTTAACTTTTACGAGCATTTTCATGTCCTTCCAGGAATGATCGTCATGGGCGCCTCCATTCTACAGAAGTGTTCGCAGCGGATAAGTCTCCGCTTTGCAATTGGCCGCATGAAATCTGCAGGTCCCGGGGGCTCGGATTCTTATAGTTTCATAGTTTCATAGATTTAGGGTCGGAA